TAGCGCCTCGACGTCCACCGTCGCGACGTCGCCGTCGCCGTCAGTTCGTGAGTTTCACGCGACGCCCTCGCACCACGTGCCATCAGATCAGTTCGATCGACGTTGTGTTTGTTGTTTACCCTTTTCGAGATCACCGCGAAACGGCATATTAAGTGATTCGGCCCATTCCGCGAAGGGAGAACATCCAAGCCAGAAAGCGTATTTTCCTTGAGGTCCAAGATCTCAGGCCAAGATTTCACAAACCAAAGATGAGGAGGAGCCTCCGCTGCCTGGCCCATCCACAGGTATTTCTTGATCCATAAGTGGTTGCTCATCCTGACAATAGATTTCACACCTGATTCTGTCTAGCCTGTAATACTATCTGTGTCGCTGTATATGAGGAGGAGTAGTTTGACATTTCTTACAAATTAATAAAGGGGTGCGTTGATCTGACAAGTAACCTTCAAAATTGATTAGTGCATGTTTATTCAATGGTTAGGTTCACGTGTTGCACCTCCTACATCATATTCCCATTATATAACTGTCTCTACAATTATTATTCGTTTCAAATTAATTCAGGATGATAGTCAGATCCTAAATAATAGTGCAATATTATCATAGAAACCTCATATTAAATAGTAATTTGCTGTTTTTTTCTGGTGAGACAAAAGTTTTGGCAGTTCTGCAGCTCTGCAGAACTTAAGTGCCAGCTGCCCCTGGGTGGTAGTATCGCTAACTGGTACTTTCTTTTCTGTACGTAGATATATTACTTTTGCCTTCCTTTATTTAAATTGTCTATGGATCATACTATCTGTGTCGCTGTATATAAGGATGAGTCTTTTATTATTTCTTACAAAGTGCAAAGCGATGCGTTGATCTGACAGGTAATCTTAAAAATTGATAGAGGCATGTTTATTTAATGTTTTGCACCTACGCGACTTGCCTTGATGACATTCCTATGATATATCTGTCTCTACGATTAATCATTAGTGTTTGATACGATCTAAATGAGTACAGGATAATGGTCGGACCCCAAATAATAGTACACCATGCTACCATAAAAACTCCATATTCAAACAACATAGTTTATAACTTTCCAACAACTCACATTTAATAACGTAATAGTTAACTAAAGCAGCAGTATTTAAACAGAGTTACTACTTTGAAATATGCTCAGTGACTGTAGCAACATCAATGTTTCAACTCTGTTTTTCTTTACCTTTGTTAAAATGTTATATAGTTTTTATGAAGAAAGCAGTTTCTGAAAGCTGAGTAGTACAAATATTTTAGTTACTGCCCTTTCATTTACTAGTGTTAGCGACTTTGATACGTGTAGAATTATTGCCTATCGAGATGTTCGTTCGCTCCATCGCAAAATTGGCCTCCGTGTTAATTGTACTGCAATAACGGTAATGCGTGTGTGTCGGGTGTGGATAGAAGGAGGTAGAGGAACGCGAAGAAGGCCAGCTGGTCCGCCGAGGCGTACTACAGAGCGTCAAGTTAGGTGCTTGAGACAACTAGCTGACCAATGGTTTGGTATCATTATGCGTACACTCTACGAGCCCCTTCCCACTTCAGTTGGCCCACTTCACAAGATTTGTACCTGATGTAAAATCAAGCTGAAGAAATTATTTTTTTCTGGGTGTCAAAATTCTAGTGTCACTGAGTACATTATAGTTTCACAGTAAAGTGACACAAAGTCATCCATTTCATTTTGCAACCAGAAAATCCACCTCGTGAAGGCTATTTTCCTTGAGGTTTAAAATCTCAGGACAAGATTTCTGCTTGACCCATCCACAAGTATCTTCTCGTCTATAGGGAGATGTGCTGCTTTTGACACTATAGCACACGCCTTACTCTATCTCGAATATGGATCATACTATCTGTGTCTCTGTATAAAAGAATGTGTATTTTGGTATGTCTTACAATTTAATAGAGTAATGCGTTGATCTGGTAGGTAACATTCATAACACTGATCAACAGCCAAAAAATATCCTAAATAAAATCAACAAAATATTACAATTTTTAATGTGCTAAAACCGGAATGAGACTTATTTTTTCAATATTAGTTCAAGTTTTAGAGATACGGTAATTATATGTGTTTCTGCTGTGACAGTGTTAATATACTGTAATTCACAAGAATGCACGTGCTACATTTTTGTATTCGGCAAGGAAAGATAATGTAATCGGCATGATTGTGTTACGTTATACATACGTGTACACTATATTGTTTTATATTAGCCATCTTTTCCTCAGTTGGCTGACAGCGTTCATGCAAGTGTGTAAACAATCCAGATCAGTTTTGTTACGTGTGTGGTGATGTGACTTTTGCGTCTCAGAGACGGTCTATTACTCCACTCATAACAAAGGCATATCAGCTTTATTTTGGTTGTAAACTAGGTGATCAAGACAAACAGTGGGCACCCCACATCTGCTGTAATACATGTGCTTCAAGTCTGAGGAGCTGGTTAAATGGCAAAAAACGGTCTATGCGCTTTGCTGTCCCAATGGTTTGGAGAGAGCCTACAAATCATATTAATGATTGTTACTTTTGCATGGTACCTTGTGTTGGACAAGCCACAGGTATGTCCAAGAACAAAAAATTGGTTATTAACTACCCAAACATACCATCTGCGATGAGACCTGTGCCTCACAGTGACGAAAATCCTATTCCAAAATCCCCAGAATCCTACACTTGCGAATCAGAAAACGAATCAGATCATGGCGATCGAGTGATTCGTCAGGAAGAAGATATGCCATCAACGTCAAGAGATCCTGATTTTATACCGACCACGTCATGCCACCAACCAGACAAAATAACACAGTCAGAACTAAATGATCTTGTAAGAGATTTAGAACTTCCAAAATGTAAGGCAGAGTTACTTGGATCAAGACTGCAGCAGTGGAACTTTTTAGAAAACGATGTTTCGGTATGTGTTTTTCGTAAACGCCACAAAGACTTAGAACCATTTTTCAATATGGAGAATAACTTGGTTTTCTACAGTAACATTAACGGCTTACTGGCGGCTTTAAATATAAACTATAACCCAGAAGAATGGAGATTGTTTATAGACAGTTCAACATTGAGTTTAAAGGCAGTGTTATTGCATATGGGAAATATTTTACCATCTCTTCCTGTAGGGTATGCAGTTCACATGAATGAATCATATGACATGCATAAAATACGATGAGCACCAATGGCATATTTGTGGCGATTTGAAAGTTGTTGCACTTTTACTTGGGCTGCAGCTAGGCTACACAAAGTTTTGCTGTTTTTTGTGTGAATGGGACAGTCGGGCAAAGGCACTTCATTACACCAGACAAAACTGGCCTGTTCGTCAATTCCTAGAGCCAGGTCAAAAAAAATGTACAGCATATGCCATTAGCAGATTCGAAAAAAATTTTATTACCACCACTGCATATCAAGTTGGGCCTAATGAAAAACTTTGTCAAGGCATTAGATAGAGATGGGTCAGCTTTTCAATACCTGCGTCAGAAATTTCCAAGACTAAGTGAGGCAAAGGTTAAAGAAGGTATTTTTACATCTGTGGCAAATGGATAACTTCCAATGCCAAACCAATCGACAAAAAAAAAAAAAAAAAGAAGGTATTTTTGATGGGCCACAGATTCGAAATATTTTGAAAGATACACAGTTTGAAAACACTTTAACAGGTATTGAAAAAACTGCTTGGAATGATTTCCGTCTGGTGGTCACTAATTTCTTGGGAAATAGAAAAGCTAACAGCTATAAAACCCTTGTCAAAAATATGCTGTCATCGTATCAAAAGATGGGCTGTAATATGTCTCTTAAGATACATTTCCTACACTCACACCTGGACTTTTTTCCTGACAATTGCGGAGCCGTAAGTGATGAGCACGGCGAACGTTTTCATCAGGATATTTCAACAATGGAAAAAAGGTACCAGGAGAAGTGGAATCCTTCCATGCTTGCAGACTACTGTTGGACTCTTGGTAGAGATGCTCCAGAAACGATCCATAAAAGAACAGCAAAAAGACAGCGCATATAGTGATTCTTATAAGTATATGAATCTTGTTACTTTTTTTAATATATCCTTGAAAATAAAAAGTTTTTTTTCTAAACCGCAACTAATTTTTTTAGAGAAGAAGTGCACTTTTCCCACAAGATACAATTAAAAAACTAAAATTCGTTGTCCAGTGAACTGATTGCTTTTGGTTTATTCAATTTTGGGAATCCTCGAGTAAAGCAACAACATAATGAAACTAGAAAGTGCAGAGGCAACCTAAACGTAACAACAGCTTTTTGACAACCAACAACTCGCAACAGGTTTATGTCTAAATAAAATAAGAAAGTCATTAGCATTTAGAATGTTAATAGAATCTACCTAACAAAATATTAAAATCCAGTTTCGGCTCTCTACAAAGAATTCTGATGTAGCCAGGATATCAATGTCAAAAGTACACAGAAATGCCATCATCCGGCATTTGACGCCCAAACCTCAATGTCCACGACTTCTGGGGGTTGTAGCTGGGTCCTAGGTTATTTTTTTCTGAACACGTATTCGGATTGAGCAACGAAAAACACATTGGAATATAGCATGTCTCACGGATCTCGACATTTTATTTTTTTGTGGCTTTTTTGGCCACAATTTTCACAAATCGCTACCGCTATTGAGCGATTGTTAAAAGGGATTGTGTACTTAGCCGGTTCACTCACATTATTAAGCCACAAATATTGTCTTCTACCTTCTTCCTATAATCTCATCCTCGATTATTAATCGCAAAAGCTCATATCTTGTTAGGGATGACTACACTGCTTTCTTCTTTAATAACTCGGTAATTTTAAAAATGGAATATACAATCTATTTGGAAACTAAATATTATATTAATTAGGATTTGAAATTATATGTTACATGATATGACAATCCCTAGATTTGGCAAATTATGATTACTTCAGTAACAGGGCTATCTAAATGTATCCACTTCATAATTGAGTGGTTTTATCAACGTTTTGGAGTTTATCTACATGCATATATTTACCCAGCAGCTGATAATAGACTCTTGGAAGTGCTTTATACCTAAAATTGAATAACTGAATCAAGTACGATACGTCAATGTAGGTTATTATTTACTGTTTGTTGCTTATATCACGTCGAGGTAAAAATAAATTAGCAGCTAAACGTTTGCTGCGCTTGTCTCAATCACAAATTGAATATTTTTTGTTGACTCATCGTTAATGGAGATTTGGAATGAACGAATATCTTCCTTTTGAAACCGAAAAGGAAGTCCGCCATCAAGCGATGCCGTAGAACGACGGAAGTTTGCACAGGAAAGCTGCATACCGCAGCTGATCTAACCCGTTGCTAATATCGAGAGCAACGACGCAGACCTCCTCAACGGCTTCGATGAGTCGACTCCACAAATGTGCGACGTAAATCAATCTATGACTGGATGTCGAATGCTATAACTGCCTCTATTTGCATAGCGAAGTTGACCAGTACCAGATTGAGTTTCATTTTCAGCATAAATTATACTAAGTGACACCCAGTTTAAATGGTTTTATTTTAACAAAAGTTGGTGAATGTATTTTTCTTACTGTAAATAACAAGTGAAACAATTTTCAGCCTTATCAGTTGGACATTCCGGTTTTTATACTGCTTTTTTTTAATTCAATAACGCTCTAAAAATGAATATTCCAGCCGCAGTAAAGAATCAACGTTGGCGGATTTTGATTCTTGACATCCTTTACGATCGGTTACTATGCCTAGAGTACGGAGACCTGTACGATTTTGTCAACTTAGTGAGTTTGATAGGGGCCGTATAGTGGGACTTCGGGAAGCTGGACTTTCTTTTCGGGCAATTGCAGTTAGAGTGCAAAGAAGTGTAGACACTGTGGTTAGGTGTTGTCAGGCATGGCTTCGAGAAGGCCGTACGCAAAGAGCAAGGGACACTGGACGCCGCCGTAGAACAACAGACCGTGAAGATCGCCGCCTAAGATTATTGGCCTTAAAGGACTGTTTCTCCACTACCAGGTCCATTGCAACTGAATGGTTTGCAGAACACGGAAGACCTATTGGCATGCGAAGTGTTTACCGACGAATGAGAAGTTTTGGCTTGTTTTCATACCGGCCACACTGGGTCCTCCCTTTAACTCGAGAACACCGACGTAATCGCCTTGAGTGGTGCAGACAACGATCACTCTGGGATCAGGAATGGAACAGTATTGTCTTTAGTGACGAGTCTCGATTTTGTTTAGGCATGCACGATGGTCGTGCCAGGGTTAGAAGGCGACGTGGTGAAAGGAGGAATCCACAGTTTTTTGTTGAAAGACATGTTCATCACACTGTTGGAGTTATGGTTTGGGGTCTATAGCTTATGGTTCCAGGTCACCTTTAATCTTCATCAGAGGTAACATGAACGCGCAGCGTTATATCCACGAGGTTCTAGAACCCCATCTTTTACCCTATCTTGACACCCTGGCAGATCCAACTTTCCAACATGATAATGCCCGACCACATGTTGCAAGAGTCACAATAGACTTCTTTCAACATAATGATGTCACATTGTTACCATGGCCACCAAGATCTCCCGACTTATCCCCAATTGAGCACGTGTGGGATATGATGGGTAGGAGATTGCTCAATTTGCAACGTCCTCCTCAGACTCTAGAAGCACTTCGAGAGGAGTTGGTGGTTGCCTGGAATGAGATACCACAGGAGGACATTGACCACCTGATCGGAAGCATGCCTAGGCGCGTTGGAGAATGCGTAGCACATCAGGGTGCATCCACACATTATTAAAGGTCAAAGGGCTTTAAAGCAGTGTAATCAGTTTGAAATTTTTATCATTTACTTATTATGCTTCATTAAGTACTTATACAAAATTTTATTAAAATAAAACCATTTAAACTGGGTGTTCGGAGTTATATGTCACTTAGTATATTTGAACCTAGCAGTGACTTCGTTTAAACAAATTTGCAACCTCTTCATATATGTTGAGGAGTGTCTAATAAATTCGATTACAAAATCAAGAAGTTTGATTTTGCACGTCCCAAACAACGCTGAAATCAGTTTGGAAAAGATTATGTTATACAAGCAGTCCAAAGACATCTTTTCCCATCTGGCAATGTCACTCCTCCCATATCTCACGACACCCATGGGGGAGACTGTGCACACACATCCACCTACCTAATTGCATTTTGGCTCTGAATTATCATCCTTAACAGCTAACCAAGTTAGCTTCTGTCTGCCAGAAAGTATAATTACTTCTGTCTTCTCAGGAGCTAATTTCAAGTCATTTTCTTTCATCCGTATGGTTGGTGTCTCCTTGCCAGCACTATCATCGCAAGGGCGTCCATCTAGCGGATTCCCAGCAGCGTCTGGAACCGAAGAACCCCGTCGTAGAACGCGTTCCAAAGCAGCGGCCCTAGGACAGAGCCCTGCGGCACTCCCATGGTTACCGTCAAATTAGCTCTTTATTATGTTCAATAGATAGCTAGTGTGTCTAGCTTCTCAAGAGATATGACGATTTTTATAACGCAAAGCTTCTTGCTATCCACTAATAATAATAATTAAAAAAAGCAGTCTCATCACTTAATTTACAGACCTCGTAGATACATAACAGTCTACTGAGTCGGTGAATTTGCCTTCGCTGTACTTTGACAAATTTTTATGAAGATTTTTTTACAAAGTTTGCCCTTGATAGCAAACCGAACACTTACGAAACTTTTTTAAAGTGTAAATATACCTTGATGTTGAATAATTGATGAGATTTAAGTAACGTCGGGTCACCTAAATAAGGTAACACCAATATTCGGCGTTTTCTTTTATCAAGGGCATATCGATCAGAAATGTTAATTTTTAATCAGTTTGTTAGACAATAAGTATGTTTATACATATTTTATGGTACCTAAACTGGACTCAAACAAACACGCGATATAAAAAAGCATTGAAGCTCGAAAAAGAGCTTTGGTTACGTGGAAAAACGACAGGAGTTTCATAGATATATACTAAGTGACGTATAAATCCGAACACCCAGTTTAAATGGTTTTATTTTAATAAAAGTTGATGAATGTATCTATCTTACTGTAAATAACAAGTGAAAAAATTTTCAGCCTTATCAATTGGACATTCCGGTTTTTATACTGCTTTTTTTAATTCACTAACGCTCTAAAAATGAATATTTCAGCCGCAGTAAAGAATCAACGTTGGCGGATTTTGGTTCTTGACATCCTTTACGATCGGTTACGATGCCTAGAGTACGGAGACCTGTACGATTTCGTCAACTTAGTGAGTTTGATAGGGGCCGTATAGTGGGACTTCGGGAAGCTGGACTTTCTTTTCGGGCAATTGCAGTTAGAGTGCAAAGAAGTGTAGACACTGTGGTTAGGTGTTGTCAGGCATGGCTTCGAGAAGGCCGTACGCAAAGAGCAAGGGGCACTGGACGCCGCCGTAGAACAACAGACCGTGAAGATCGCCGCCTAAGATTATTGGCCTTAAGGGACCGGTTCTCCACTACCAGGTCCATTGCAAATGAATGGTTTGCAGAACACGGAAGTGGCATGCGAAGTGTTTACCGACGAATGAGAAGTTTTGGCTTGTTTTCATACCGGCCACACTGGGTCCTCCCTTTAACTCGAGAACACCGACGTAATCGCCTTGAGTGGTGCAGACAACGGTCACTCTGGGATCAGGAATGGAACAGTATTGTCTTTAGTGACGAGTCTCGATTTTGTTTAGGCATGCACGATGGTCGTGCCAGGGTTAGAAGGCGACGTGGTGAAAGGAGGAATCCACAGTTTTTTGTTGAAAGACATGTTCATCACACTGTCAGAGGTAACATGAACGCGCAGCGTTATATCCACGAAGTTCTAGAACCCCATCTTTTACCCTATCTTGACATCCTGGCAGATCCAACTTTCCAACAAGATAATGCCCGACCACATGTTGCAAAAGTCACAATAGACTTCTTTCAACATAATGATGTCACATTGTTACCATGGCCACCAAGATTTCCCGACTTATCCCCAATTGAGCACAGGTGGGATATGATGGGTAAGAGATTGCTCGCTCAATTTGCAACGTCCTCCTCAGACTCTAGAAGCACTTCGAGAGGAGTTGGTGGTTGCCTGGAATGAGATACCACAGGAGGACATTGACCACCTGATCAGAAGCATGCCTAGGCGCGTTGGAGAATGCGTAGCACATCAGGGTGCATCCACACATTATTAAAGGTCAAAGGGAAAAAAATGAAACCATTTAAACTGGGTGTTCGGATTTATATGTCACTTAGTATATTTTTCATTACCCTTAAAGCAACCAAAAAATCCATTTGCACTAATAACGCAATTGTAGCATTTAAAATGCTTGGCGTTTTGTTCATGGTCAACACAAAGTATTAGAAGCGTTATTCAAAGTCGCAATACGTATTTCGGAAGAATCAGCGGTGCGGAAATTACGTTTCTCTCTTCTTCTGGAACATAGTGTTACAACATTCCAATGGTTGTAAATTGTTGTATATTTGGTGTGAGTGAAAGACCTGCTACAGGTTGGCCAATATATAACTGACTGATTTAATTTGCGCGCCATATTTGATACGCGCATTTCAGTAGATGGCGCCGTAGTTTTACTTAAATAACGAGTCGATTGTTGCATAGAATCGGAAGCTACGACCTACCGGACATCGTTCTCAAGGACTGGGCATTCGTCGCACGTCAGTATGCACTATTTTAAAAAAAGATTTACACATATTTTCCATACATCTGCCATGGAAACAGAAATATGATGGATTTGCTGTATATACCTACCTACACAAGATTCGATTTCGCCTTTTGAAACGATCTGACTCATACCTTTTCTTTGAAATCTCCAACGAAGGCGTAGAAAGTATAGAATCAATCTAATTGACCCAATTTCTTGAGTTCGGACCGCACCGGTCAATATTTCAAACCCGCCCGCAACCATTCTTTACGTACTTAAAATTTCCCAAATCCAATTTACAAGTCTTGAAGTATTTTTGAATCGTCAAAGTTTCGGGTGTTAGGACCAATGTCAACCGAGCTTTTTTCTGTCGGTATCGGTAGAATAGAAAATCCACCCAGTCGCTGCTTCCACTTGTTAAGAAGTTTTATTTGTAAAGCCTAAACATACAAAGGTGAGTTGGGATAACAACAAGAAAAATCATTCACCGCTCCCGCCTCTCTCTCTTTTTCTCTCTCCCTCTTTTTGTCAGAGGTTTCATACAACGTACATATATTTATTTGTTTACGCGGAAGGGACTGAACCGATATAGCGAAACCCGAGTCATTTTCGATTTCAAATGAGGGACGACACCGAATTTTCAAGATTTTTGAACACAATGCCGGAGATATAAGATCGATGCCTCGAGATGGCTTTCTAAAAAAGTTTATGAACTCAAAAATGAACCTTTCCAAAATTATCACAATATTGTTATGATGTTAACAGTACAAAGTTTCCAAATTTTAGCAAATAAATATAGGAAAATACTGATTATTTATATGGTACGGCGTTTGAAGTACTGCTCAGTCACATGCTTTGTAATTACAGCTTGCCACTGTTCGATTCAAAAATACGAGTTTCTTCTTTCTCCTGAACGTCTTTTGCATGGTATAAACAAACCTATGCAGCTCTGATGGAAACATCGAGGACGACAGCGACGTTTTGACATCACCAATTACGGGAAACATATCAATTACATATTGTCGGGGTATAGAGTCATGTGGCAAGTAATATAATGCCATATCGTAATAATTATACATACCTTCTATTCCACAATATGTTTTGCTACACTTCAACACGCCTGCAATGTGACACTATTCGATTATAAACTTTTTTTGGACTTTGGGACAGATTTGTTCGGTTCCTAAACCACGGCTTAACCTCGACACAAACATAGTCCAAGGAGTATTCCCCTCGCCAGCCATAACATGATCACAATAACAATACTCGCATTATCTCCAAATAAAGCGTTAATCGAATCTATTCCATCCACTCCAAATAGCTTGTTTCTTCATCATAATAGACATACACACTACTAATAACAACGTTTCTACGAGGGTTGTTTCATCGATAAAGTTTCCAACTTCTTAACTCTGGCGCGCGTCAGCTGGTGTAATGTGACGTCATCACTCAGTCACATGCTTAAACAATATTATTCTCCTACTAAGGAACTTCTCTGAATAGCGCAACTTTGTCATTGGTTAAGTTATTCAAAAACATTTGTAGTGCAGGCTACCATTTTAAGAGTGTTTAAAAAAATATTAAACATTTTCGGGCCACTATTTATACGAGGCAATAATGAAGTTTCGGAGAATGCAGCATCAGAGAAGGTTTCCGGATTGGGACACTAAATTACGCGACATGTTTTAATACAGCATGCTCGAAATTCCAGTACATTTTTCCGCAAAAGTTGTATTCACAACACGAACGGCGGAGCGTAGAGAACTTCTGTGCGTTTCCGCAACTCCCTTTCTAATTGCTTCTAAATGAATATTAATATGCTAACGGCTAACACGTCAAAAGTATCCGCGCCTAACGTACGCCCTCATGGCACGCATGTTTGTCCCTAATGGAAAGCGTTATTAACGTTCCTCACTTCCTGTGTTGTACCACTACTGATAAATCATCTCTAATAAATGTGATAAAACGCTTATGTTATTCCGCATGCACCGGCAGCTCACGCTTCTGTCAGAAAAACCGACCTAAGTGTACTTTTCAAAAAATTAATGAAACTCAAATATCTTTCTTCAACGAAAACGTTTTTAAAAAGATTTATTTTTGAGAATAACCAAATACAATATGTTAACTGAATAAGTTCTGAATCGAGACTGACTGCAAAGTGCATTATACAAACCAAAGTAAAGAACAAATGAAATACAATACTGAAACTGATAAGAAAGGAACGTGGAGGCAAAAGTCCTGTTCAGCATATTCTTCTCTATAGACTGGTACATAACTTGAATGAATATCACGTGTGCAGTCGACGAATGCATATTAATGAAAGTATTCGGTACCCTGCGTTTTGTCTTCCAAAAGATGTGTGGTGTCTATTAGCCCTAGGATCATACTCTGTTACAAATTATCGTTCAAAGGCTTTTCAAATAAAAATAATCATTCCTCAATGCATTGCACACACATCTTATTTTATCCCACTTATTAGAAAGCCCTTCAGTTGTATCAGCAAATTTTATATAGGGTGTTTCAGTTTATTGTTGCATAACTTTAAGATTCGATCGAACTTTCAAAATTAATGCATAAAGTCTATATAAACATGGGTCGAAAAATGCGTGCCTTCCGAAAATAAATAATATATAATAAATAATTCTAAAATAGTTTTTTTTAAATATTTCGAACACTATTCGATG